ATGAGACAATTAAGAGATATGTGAAACACTGAAGTTCCAGAAATTATTTTTGAATGGTCTCAGCATGCAGGAGAAACTTTAATGGAAGGTGTCACTGTTTTCCATGGGAGCTAGTATCCTCCCCAAGTTTCTCAAAAGGCTAAATCTACCCGTTACATTCAAGCCGGCGAAGATGCAACCCAGACTTCCAAATTCAAAGCACAGCATAACATGCAAAGCTTGTGGCCATCTTTGTATTTTGGCCTTGATTCCTTTTTCGGATAAGATTCTTTTTTCCAGTCTGAGCTATCTCAAGTAAATTTCTTTGGACATATTGAGATTACAAAACTCAAATACCTTTGAGGTATTTGAGTTTTGTAATCTCAATGTTGATTAAAGAGTCTTACTGCATGGAAGGACATGCATGGATGTGGTTCTCTTACACAAATATAACTCATGGTCTTTGTTTTAATGAATGCTTTCTAAATTTAGACTCTAATTTTCTAAATTGCTGGATATTTTGCATTTCCCCTTGATATTCAGTTTATAATGTAAACGCATACACAATGTTTGTAATCAGCTTTAGTATGAATTCTGCCCTTGATACATTTTTCAGTAGGATTCTTTTTTCTTTTAGTCTGGGCTATTTCAAGTGAATCCACGGACAGTGTCCATATTCTGGTTTATACAAAACTCCAATCTGTTTATAAAAAGACTCCCACGAGCAGCTTATAAATAATTCAAGTACAGTGTATTTGTATATTGGTTCTTGTGCAAGAACAGATTCCAGGCCTTCATTTTACCTGAATAAATGCTTCCAAATTTTAGACCATTTATCTTGACAGCTGGACATTTACCATTTCCCCTGAAAATAACATTCATTTTATCATAATATGAAACCGATGAACACACAGGGAATTTCCAGCAATATCCTTATGTAAAGAATATCCGCTTTACACCATAATGCTCCAACCGTACAAGCCAAGAACAGAAATATACATACACCTATAGGTACATTTAGTAGTACATTATAGACCAATCCGAGGAGACACCAGGCTCGTGGAACCATCACACACACGCACATGTCTTAACTTGAGCGCCCGCACGCCCTTTGGCAATTCAAGACACCCTGTTAATTGGAGAGGAATGTAACACGCTCGGACGGCCCTGCAGTCATGGCTTCCAGTTCTTTTTATCAGATTTGTCAACACAGTTAAGGAATAGTCTTAAGTCAACCACCTCAGTTTCTGCTAAGTAATATTTACAGAGTAAAAATAGAATAGAATAAGGCATTGTGCTGGGGATAGTCTTGCTGTTGCACCCAGTTTAAACATTAGCTTAGCTGAAAGAGCAAGATATTATATTTAACAGTGATCTGTATTAACCACTTGCTGCCGGGGTTTCCGGTACCGGACACGTATTCTTTATACGCGTGGCCGGGGTCTCCGAAATCAGACAAAGGGAACTGGGCCTTGTAACAAAAGACCGTACTCATTACAAAAGACCAGGTTGCTGAACATTACCAACATATTTTTCGCTCTCAATAGTGGAGATAATCCAGTCTTGTTTTCAAGCAGTATACCATGGTTTGGGGGATTTAGCGGGAGCGGATTACCACCAGGGACAAAAGTGCTCCACCACCGCAGCGATGAGCAATTGATATTCACGTAGGCCCTAACGTCACCAATAAACTTTACTGTTACTCCGGGGGCCTTTTCATTAGTGAAGAAATAAAGTAACAGGGTTCCTGCACTTAAAGGACAATTAAACTCCATGACTTTTCCATGACCAAATTATGAAATTCCATGACCCAATAATGCAATTTCTTGGACTCTTCTGCCTTTTATGTTGCGCATACAGTCACACATTTTATGCACTTATTTCTGAGATTCTGAAATCACACACTATGTTTGAAAAATTTCATGTTTTTTCCATGACTTCAGTCATTTTTTTCAAAATTCCATGACTTTTCCAGGCCTGGAAAACGAAAACAAATTTCCATGAATTTTTCAGGACTTTTCCAGGCCGCGGGAACCCTGAAACAGCTCATTGACAATGATACACTCACAGCAATGCAACAGTGGGACACAGACCTACGCACACTGTCAATTACTGAGCTGTCGCCAGGCATTTACGTCCCATTAAGGGCCCTACCCATGCCCATTCAATTAGCCCCTCTCAGCTGCCGAAGTGCACTGTTTGATCAACTAACAGCCTCCGAATTACGAGGCCATGGCCTTAGATTCAAAGAATACAACTCCTACTTATCCAACTGCGACAAATCCTTTCTCGGCCTTGCTCAGATGGTTTCGGGGAATTTAATGATCATACGCCCGGTGAGCAGGGACGATAATGTTGTAGCATCTTAGGAACCAGTAATGGTTAATGTGTGTGCTTTCTTAAAAAAAAAGGTGTTACTTTAAGGGCATTCGGACACCAATTTTGAGGCTCCGATAAAAATGTTTCTAAATGACTGAAATTGAATCGATTCTGAAATGATCTTGCACTTACGCCACCATTCTGTGCTTACAACACTTGCATGGAGATTCTGCATTAACACATGAGCACGGAATCCTCGGGGGCAAGATGGACATGTACTCGTACCTGTATGACCATCGGCCAAAATTGCTAACAATAATCATATCAAAGCATTTATAAGGCGCATAGTCTCTCACAGTGCTTGTACCTGCAATTCAACAGCGCTGGTGTACATGTATTATACACGACTCGATCTTCAACAGAGAAACGAACACCCTTCCAGTCTGTCCGCCCACACCGATACATTCACGTACATGTGACTATCCCTGCACATTGGATTCACAATATCAGAACATTCTGTGAAACCATGTAAGCTCCCTGAGGAGTATGCTAGCCCGATGCTGCCACATCAGGTGCGAACATTATAACCATATCTGCCTTCACAGGTACTGTACCGTACCCATTTATTCCTGGGTGGAGAAGGCACGTTAGGGTGAAGTGAGTGTAATACGGACCATGACATGTGAGTCTATATAACACTGTCTGTAGCCACAGGTCAACCAATCAGGATCAAGGATTCCAGTTTGCTTTAGGATGAAAACCGTATCACATTATAAAGCAGAAACAACTTGCATGTTGGTTGTCATCTGTTTGTGTCAAAGAGCCTTTGTTGAAAACTACGTGTACGTATACCATTCCAATCAAATTCAATTCTATTTGTTTTTGTCAACAGTCTTGAAACAAAGCCAAATCCGCAAACAAATAGCCCATCTAAATTTTGGCTTTCAGGGGTGAAAGTGGGGGACAGATGAAGACAATCCACAAATCATTCAGCAGAGGCGTTGTAGCAATGAAAAGAGAATACTAGGACCTTGCAAGGCTTGTAATCCAGCCTGAGCGGGACCAAGAGAGGGCACAATATTCCTAGCAACGGAGGTTCCTTTGGTGGGGGATGCACTTCGCTGGTTCATGACGACTATGACATGCACATTTTACGGTCACGTTGCTCCCAACAACATGAACACTCCCAACGTGGCTCTTTTCAACCAGTGAGGGGGTGCTTCTGCTCAAGGCAGATAGCCAGCAAGGCATGAGGTCTGTCACACATGTAGCTAGGATTATGTGAATCTTGCACTTGTTTCCCTTTCTTTTTCACGAAAAGCAAGAAAGTAGGAAAACTTGACTGATAAGACCTCAACAACTCCACAATTTGGGGCTCAACAAATCCTGAAAGTCCAGAAAAAAAACAATAAATTACATCCCTGGGGTTGTAACTAATTTCACCGGCCATAAATGCCAAGCAGGCTTCACAAAGTTTCCTGAATGACTGTGATTTCTCACACCAAAAACTGGTCAAATTTTCAACAGCACACAACGGTGACTTCCACTCTTCATTTACGGGACAGAAGCACCAACAGCCTTCCCTCCCTCTCTTTAAACAACTGCAATTTCCCGAGATGACAAAGGGCATGTTTGGATAATAATCATGGGGGGTGGCGGGGAGAGATCAAAGCCATAATTGGAACAATTTCCTCCTGCGAAGATCACTTGATTGCAAACAATCAATTAAGGACAGCCTCGGCAAAGCAGAGGGCATACAAACCTGCATCAGACAATCATTTCAATCCCAACATCTCTATATCCCCTCATTTCAAAACAGGGCAAGTTCCGGCGCTGACTGTAGTTCAACCACTGCCCACTTGCCTTTTTAAAAATGCAAAGGCCCAAAACTGTTTCATTTGACCCACCCTAGTCAAAGTGTTTGGTAAAATCTCGTCACATTTTGCAAGTGCCTGCAATTCTTGAGGCGTAAATAGTCAGAGACATCTCATCCAATGTTTTCATGCAAACGGTCCCCAAATTGTCTGCACTGATAAATGAAAGCAGCTGTTGAGAGCCAGCGGTGCGATCATACCCGAAGGGCTTGACTCTGAATGGTCAACTACATGTAGATGGCCCAAACCATGAATCATTCTGGCAATGTTTTTAGCTACATGTACAGGTGCGTCTATCGTTAATTATAGCCAGACATGCAGCTTCAACATGCCAGTTCCAGTACAGTCTTCACGCAACTTGAGGGCAACAGATCACGGCACACTTCTTTGCTGTGTTCTTTTTCCAATCTAACAAAAATGCTCCTAATTAACATAGGCTGTAAGGATTATTTTTACTTGATTAATCAATGCATCAATTATTCAGTTGCAATGTCGTATTTGATTTCCATTTGAAAGTACTTCGTGACGATAGGGGCTTCCTTTAAATTGTTAGTAACAGGTTCCAGATCTTGTACAAGTATTTGCCTTCATCTGGAATTCTCATATCAATTGTTATATTGATTTTACATTCATATGAATATCCTATTTAAGATATCGAAATAAATTCAACTTAACTAAACTAAACTTTCAGAAAGTCCAAGAACAGCCAGAAAGCTTCTTATACCAAAAATCCTAGACATGAACCGTAGACATTAGATCTAATTTTTCTGACGTACATTTTGCGATGCTGTGTAAATCTTAATGCAAGGAAAGTGGGGAAGGACTCACCGACTGTTGACCTTTGCACTTGATGGCCATTATCCTCTGCTGGAGAAACCTGCGCCAGGTCATCTTCAGCTTGACCGTAGGGGCTCGGAGGCATATGGTCTGCCCATGGCCGGCCAGAGGATGCAGCGGCGCGCCGGTGACCAGAGTGATGCGAAAATCTCGATCTGGAAGGTTGAATGAAGAAAAAAATCCTGACTTACCGCCATCGCCTCACAGTTCAGCTCATATGAATGCTAAAGAGAATATGCGCAAATTCCAAACAGGTGTGAAAAAAAAGCTGACAGCTCAAAGTTTGGACAAGCAAATCAGTTGCTGGAAAAAAGGAAATGCAAATTCAGTAAAACAAATGCAGCATGGATTTGCAGAATTGCAAGGGGATTTCCCTCACTCATCCACGATGCAAGAAATGTTCTGTTACTTTATCTATTTCTAGAGTAAATATTGTCACCGCATCCACTTTCAAAGAGAAAATTATAACCAATGTATACATGAAAATTACCCTGAAGTAAGAAACTGAAACAAGGTTCTCTAAAATGCATTATTTTCTTTGAAACTTCTACCCAAAAAACGAAGTGCGTTATGTGTGTGCTACAGATAAATTCAATTTCTTTTTAGTTTGTTTTTCAAGGCAAATACTATCACTTTTTTTTCTTGCTGCAACACGTGAATACTGACCAACTTTGCAGTCAAAGTCCAAAATGCTGATTTCATTGATCACCAGAGGGCAGCAGACAACTTTCACGTGCACGTCATTCAGCGACTTAGCAAACAGCAGGACATCAGTGTAGAGAAAGAGCAACATCTGAGAACGAGAGAGAGAGAAGTTCACTGATTATCAATTATGAACGAACAACAGGTGCTGGCAATTTGAACAGTAGAGATCCTGTTGCCACATAGAGGAAAAGGTATTCTTTTGTGAAAAGGGGTGATTGCATTTGGCTAAAACCTTGATTGCTGATAACAGTCCTCATTACTGGAATAAACTTTAAGCAGGAGGGGTCTGTCTATCAAGACATGCAGACAAAATTCTAGGAATTCATTAATCTGGAGACATTCACATTCAATCTAGACTTGTTTCAGTTTCTCTGAGAGTTAGGCAAGGATTTTTATCGCTGATGTTTGGCGTGTAAAATATGCGCATTTCTAATGGAATGCCTCAAAAGAGAAGCATCTTTTTTGAGCAAACAGCACGTCGAGATGGACAGCTTCTGCAACTCTGATGTCACAAGCTTGGTGATCGCACGCCCTCAACTGACATCTTGTCCACATGTAAGCCAGCATCAGAACAGGGCCAGAACAGGGCCCAATTTCATGGCGCTGCTTACCGCAGAAGTTAGCGCTTACAATCTCCATTCTGAGCAAACCTCACAAGCACAAAAATTCTGCACTAACCCTTTCGGCACAGAATCCTTAATTACAGGATGTACGCATGTGCACAAGCTGCGATTCCTTGCTAGCCCATGAAATACATTAGCCATAAGCACAGAAATTTCTGCTACGGGAAGTGCCGATTTATTTTGCTTGCGGTGAGCAGCGCTGTGAAATTGGGCCTGGAATGAAGGGGAACCTCAACGGGAAACAACTATGAACCACTCGCTTCAAGGAACCGGCAACTTTGGAAAGAACAAACACTGACGAAATAAGATTGAAATCGGCATACCTCTCTCATTTTTTTGGTCTTGCTCTGGACAAAGATGCGTCCTGTGTGTACGAGCTGCCTCTGCGGTGGTTCCAGAGGAATCGGCTGCAACGAGCCAACAAAAGACCGATCAAAGACGATTCAACTTTTAAAATGGCAAAGATACCACAACCACAATCCTTTGTGAAGCTGAACTTTACAACTGCTGACCGTTAGTGGTCACCTATGGTCATCTGTCCTGTGATTGTGTGACAATGGTTGCCACTGCTTTTTTGAATTTCTGAGGCTGACCAACATTTGCTACAAATGCGCGGCCCTGGCAGATGGCAACTTGAGGGTTCAATACAGGCTGACTTATAAAAGGTTCCGCAGAAACACAAACGAGCATCAGAACGACATGGCACAGAAAGTACTCAAAATAAAATCTTGATTGTTTGTGAAGCTGTAGTAACATTAACTTTGTAGTGAGACAGTGTAGTTCCTATTTGGGACATCTAACATTTCACAGCCAACATGTTTTCATTGCATTACAACTAATTCTGTATTTGGAAGAGTGGTCTAGTGGTTAGGGGTTGTAACTCCTGAACATAGTTGTCAGGGGCGAAGAAGAAGTCATCTTTCTCCATACCGTCACTCTCCTGGACCAGATGATCCTCTGCTTGTTGTTTTGAAGGGGGATTTCCGCTGACACTCCACTTCTTTTAGATCTTCCTGCACGCTTTATCGTCTGACCAGCTTGCAGTTCCTTGTTTGAGGATTTGCATCTCTTTTTTCCCTTGTTCGCAGCCTGTGACAACTGCCTGGTAGATGAAGAGGCAGACGGTCCAACGAGGGAGGAGTCGGTTGGTGGAATCACTGGGGAGAGATCCAAATTGACTGGAGGGTCACAGTCCGGAGTTGGGCCGCTGTGGGGATTGGTGAGGACACGCTCCAGGGTGTTGAGGTCGTCCACGGCGATGGACGCCATCAGGTCCGACTCCCATGAGGAGGTGCTGCTGCGGTCTGTTGCAGTCTCATCGCAGTCGGGGATAGCAGACATCTCCAAGGAGTCTGAGCCTGCCACAGACACCCTCTCAGACGAGGAGCCGCTAGTCTGGTCAAAGCCGGACAGAGTCCAACTGCGACGGTTGAGACGTCTCTGGTCCAGACTGCCCCCGCAGCTAAGATCATGACTGCATCGGTTTAGACTGTCCTGCTTTGTGGTACATGAGCCCCTGCCAACAATCAAAGAAGAACCCACTTCAAAAAATCCATCAGGTCTCTTCATGTATTAAAAAAGCCAACAATTGCCCTAAAAGATGACTCAGGGAGCATCGGCCTTGAGGATCAAACCTTTGCTCCAACACTGAACATATGTTAAAATGAACAAACAATTAATTTTTTTGTGTTCATATTTATATCTGAGCATGACAGAAACTCGCAAGATCATCATTTAGAAAACACTTTCATCAGAGATTTCACCAGATGCTACCAAGTAATGATTCTTCAGACGCTTATATGGTGAGCGTGCATATTGTTAATTTTGTGAGTAAAAGAGGACAAAGTACAGGCACTGGGGACCTTGTACGGACTTGCCCATGTCC